CCTCTCATCATGTTGCTTCTCAGCTTCAGTTTACTTAAAGAATAAGCTAGTGGGAATCACTAATACTGCGGGGGAAGGTAGGTGGGAGGGGCCGGAGTTCAAAATGAATGCTCAGCTCGGCAAGCTGCTACATGAATGTTGCTCTCATTGCAGACTAAGCCAAGGATATAAAGTTTTTTCCAGTAGGGTCAAGCCACCCCTATTTCCTTCCTTCATCACCTAGTTCAAATGTTTACTTGGCCTGTGGTCTCCAGTTTATGTTGAGCCTGGGCAGTCATGCAGCACATGAGAGCACTTCCCTTTGGTTCTTGGGTCTAACTCTGGAAGAGGTTGCTTGCAGAAGGAAAGATATCCATGAAGACAATCTTGCTGCTGATAGTGGCAGAGCCCAGCCTCTTCCATTCAGAGCTTGAATGTGAGTGTACAACCTTATCATCTTCAAGAGCTGAGTCTGGGCTTGATGAAGGGTCAAGCCCAGGCTCACTGCCTTCACAGTCTTGGATCAGTGCAACTTTTCAAGTTCCCACTACAATTACAAGGGGCTCTGCTGGAAATGTAGCTTTTGATATTCTCTTTCTCCCTTTACTTACTAACTGGAGGAGCAAAGGTCAACTTTGTTTTTGAATATGATAGCCCACATACTGACCTTAATGATGGATATAAGTGAAAGATATAAGGCATTGCTCCTGTAGGTAATGCTTAATATTTCAGAGAAACAGCAAGCAATGTGAAGAGTAACATGGGAAGAGGTACGGGTATGTTTAGGACCAAAATATAACATGAATATGAATCAGTTGAGATCTATGTATCTGCAGTGTAAACCACCTATTAACCAACCAATATCCACTGTGTTACAGCAACAAATGAATAGCTCTCTCCTCTACCAGTTAGCAAGGTAATAAATCTTGAAGACAGCAAACAAGTTGGTATAGGTACTAAATAGGGCCTTGAGGGTCATAAGCCAACCATGGGAATGCTGAGCAGGAATCCAGGCACAGTAAAGGGAAGACAGGCAAGAAGAAGGGAGCAGCGTGGGCCTGCACCAATACTGGCCCTGGCCAGGGCCTGGGCTCAAGGGTTCAGCTGGCCAACTTACCTGACTCAGAAAACGTCATTTCATGGAGGATGTTCTTTCCACAGACTCTGTTTTGATGCAGTTGCCAAAGTTCTCCTTCCCATTTACTCTGGCCCCCACCAATGCTTTTCCTAACCTCCATCATAATTCTGACTAGCTGAGTACTGACCACCACTGAGGAAGCTGGAAGATGACTAGGAGGTTAAGAGCACTGGCTGCCCTTGTAGAAAACCCAGGTTTCAGTTCTAGCAGCCACATGGCAGCTCATAACCATCCATAACTCCAGTTGAAGGAGATTTGACACCCTCTTCTGGGCTCTGTGGGCACTGTATGCACATGGTATACTTAACATACATGCAGGGGAAACACTCATACACATAAAATAAAAATAAATTTTTTTAAAAGAAAAATTACCCTTAAGCCTAGCCAATCATTAATGGAAGACCTAGTAGAACCTTACATCTTACTGCCTAACATAAGCTTATGTGCATCCTCCATGACAGGGAGAAAAAAAAATACTGTTAGAGTAAAAATACATCATAGAGATCCACTGTCTAGCAAATTATGCTTCTCCTTAGAGCCAGAATGCTACATCCCATCACAGCTTTGACTGCTGAGGAGTACCTCCCTGCCCCAGGCAACCATCCCCAAAGTCATGAACCAGAAAGCCTGAGGACGGCATGGGCCAGAGCACTTTCAGCCAAACAGCATGCTCGTTCCTTCTGGTGAAAGGGGACTGTAAACAAAAATTTTGGAAAAGTTCATCCCATCTTGGCCTTCTCTCCTGACAAAGGTCCAATGATGCTCCCATAGTCCTTTCTGGACTCATGCGTTACTGAGAGCCTCTTGGCTAGGGACATATCCAAGGTCCTCAGGAAGCCTGTATCTGTCTGAAATCACAGGCCAAAATGTCTGGAGAGGCAGACCAATGACAGATGTGGGACTACCACACCCCTGGGCCATCCCAGACCAATTTCCTGGGCTGCACCTAGTGGATGCAGTAGATGGGGGGAAAGATGGAGAAAAAACATGGGAGCATATATGCCATATGTTTATGAATTGTATAACAGTATAACTATGTAGTATGGTTATATAATTATACAATCGCATAAATAAGATCCTACTATCCAACTCCAATTATCTCCAAAAATAATCCCTTCTGAGCTACCTACCACTGAACTACGAGTGACCATTCAAAGTTAAAATAAGCATTACTGTTTACTTTGAATTAGAGAAACCAGGCATGGGCTTAAGCAACACAAATTCAGGAAAGAAAAAGGATGGCATAAAAGGAGAAGCACGTAGATAGCTGCGGCTCACACTGAGGCTGGGTGGGAGGTACACGGGTGGCAATTCTACTTCTATTTTTAAATAAAGCATTTTGGGGATACAACGAAGTAATAAAATAAGTCAAAGCTGAAGCCTAGTTCTTTGCAATCAGTGGGGGTGCGTGCAGGGTTGGAAATGGGGTATGTACAAACCACTGAGAGCAAAGAATATAAGTGTTCATACCTCTCAGTCCTATAGTGTGGCTTTGTGGCCTATAGTCAAGGCCGCATTCTGGATCCAGCTTTAGAAACAAAGAGTTCTTTGCAGAATATCACAGTGAATGACCTGTTTCTACAAGATCCCTTCTACCTGAAGCAAAGCATTATAAAACAAGAACATACTGGTAAAAGAAAATTTAGTGTGCCTGGGTCCACACTGCTCCCAGATGTGTCAGGCTCCAGTTCAGGATACACATGCAGACCACAGGGGAGTAAGTGATCAGCAGTGCAAACAGGTAGAGTTGAAAAGAACAGTTGCTGGCAGTCTCTCAAATTTTAAATATTCAAAGGGGCAGACACTGCACTTAAACCATCAAAATCAGCCATAGCTGCCTTCTCCTACTGCCTGGCTAGGAAGAGGTAATGTGTCTGTCGCATTACCAAAAGCAAAAAGATGGCTGAAAAGTTCAGTGTATACTTTAGTTGAAGGGGAACCATGCATAAACTAGGACATGAGAGTAAAAGCTGTTGGTTACACAACAAAAACACAGAGAATTCAATACTGGCACAGTTCCTATATGTGGAACTTATGTAATAAACATCACAGCACTTAAGGAAATATTGGTTTCCCATTGAAATTTCAAATGATGATACTGTGACAATGTCCATCTGCATGGGGCAGTGGGGAGGGTGCTGAAACCTTTCAACGGCTTGTGCATATTTTTAAAACAATCTCTACAAAATATCTAAAACAAGCCCTTTTAATTCTTTGTCAGTTTCATAAATGTATATAATGAAATTTGGTCATCTTATAGCAATATGATTTTTGCTTAAAATTTAACTAGTGCTTGGAATATATAAAATATGAAGTGAATTTCATGTATTCTCGTTTTTTCCAAAACCTACCTGAACCTAAGCTTTTCTATATAAATGGAATCTGAAAAAAAAGCATATAATTCTTGTGTGTTTACCTCCATAGAATCATCTGGACTGAGCCCTGGAGCAGGTCCAGAGACAAAGGCCTCACCCCCAGAGCAGAGGCACAAAGCCCAGAAGGTCCATGACCTCCCAAGACCTACTGGCCTAGAGCTACTAATTTCTGGACTTTAATTAAAATGGCACAAATCTAAAATTCACCCAGTCTCCAGCAAGTACCACCCAACCTCAAGACTAAATTTGTTCTTTTTCCTTCCAGTCTTGAAAGACAATTGTTTGTTTCTTGCTTTCAGTTTTGCCCATCTTGAACTTTTATGTATAAGAGCTGTTGTAAAGTGGCCTCTGTGGGTGTGTAACCAAGGGAACTGCAGAATTATGAACAGTATAAGTGGTTAATTCTGTTAACTTGATTAGATTAAGAAGTGTTGCACACTCCTGGGTGTGTCTGAGAAGGGGCTTTCAGAGGAGGACCCACTCTGAATGTGGATAGCAACATCTAACAGGTTAGGCGTTAAGATGAAATAAGAGGGCCAGAATGAGAAAGCTACCAGGAAGTTTCAGATTCATATTCTCTCTCTCTCTCCTCTCTCTCTCTCTCTCTCTCTCTCTCTCTCTAGGCCATGAGAGGATGAGGATGTCAGATCCCCTGGAGATGTAGTTACAGGCAGTTGTGAGCCTCCTGATGTGGGTGCTGGAAACTGAACTTGGGTCCTCTATAAGTGCT